AAAGATCGATTATCTTTATTTTTCTCTTATTTAAGGTACATGATTTGTATGTGTAAATGTATATTGTATGTTGTTTATTAAAGCGTTATGAATCGAGTGTGTTTTAAAATCTCTTTTTTAAACAATATATGTACTTATAATATCAATATTTCCTGAATAAAAATTTCAATAGTATTATAACACAGAAAATTTGTTCCCGCTATAAAATTTATAACATATCTTCTTTTGCAATTTTTCACGAAGTAGGAAGTTTCAGTGGTATAAATAAGTTCTTGTTTTCAAGTTTCAAATCAATGTTATTAGTAGAAATATTAATAGAAATTTTATTATATATAATTTTATCCTACAGAAATGTAATATTGGAAACAAATATGATAAGTTTTCTATTCTAATTTTTCGAATTGTATATGGAATACATATTGTATAATAATTACTATACAAGTGTGTGAGCGCATTTTTTATATCATTAAGACTTTTCACAATATATGACCAAAAAATTCAGGAATAAATTTTATTGAATTTGATGAATTATTCTTGGTAACATTTAATTTTTAGACAATATTAAGAATCTTTATTTTAGACCGCATATGTGAGAAACATAATCAATACTAAAAATTTTAAATATTACGGTTGAAGCTGGATCTTCATTGCTTTAAATAATTCAATCTTGAATTACTAATATATATTATATATGTACTATATATCATATTGTATTCTTTTCAAACTGCGCGCCAAATTGTTTTTTCGGATTTATAAACGCAATTAAAACTACTCTATAATTTTTAGGTAATTGTATTATGAAAACGGTTCGATATAAAAAAATTATCATATTCATTTTCTCAATACTTTTTGAAATATCAATTTATTTATATAATGACCTGTAATGTAAAATAATCTATTCACATTCTTTTTTAAAAATGTAATATATGTTACATCTTTAAACATTATTAAAAATATAAAAATTTCATAAATTGTTCTATTATTACACTTAAATATCTGTGTAAAATTTGAGTACAATTCTTTTATTGGTATTTTAAAAATTATTTAATTTTTCTGTTTGCTTTGATTCTTATGTTAATAATTATAATTGCATTTTATCGTGCTTATCTACAAATTTGATAGTCGTAGTTTTACGAATTAAAATCAAAAATTAAATTTTTTATACATGCTAATGAAATGTCTAATAAATGTTTAATTGTGCAAAAGTTTATTTAAATCCATTTAACAACAACTGCAGCAAAATATGAATATTTCATTGTAAAGTCATTATAAACCAAATTATTTATTATTTCGTTTTTTGGGTTTTAATTGGCTTAAAGATGTATTTATAACAAAAATTTGTGTCATCTTTTTATTAATTTTAACTGATAATTTTTTGGCTGATACTTTCAGCTAATATTATACAGCCAAAACATCCTTAATTCTTATGGGGACTTCAATTTTTTTTACACATGAAAATTGTGTGAGCTGAAATTCTCTGAACTCAAAAAATATATTTCTTTTCTGCGTGGAATTAAAAAAGAGCGGTGGTTTTATCGGCGACATGAATAAAGGCAAGACTCCGCGTGATATTGCTTCATATCTTTTACCCTCACTGGATCAGAATTACTAACTAGATCGCATGCGTGTACCGCGAGATAAACGCGGCCGTGCACTCGAAAGAAAGGCTTCATTTTTAATTAACTAAACTAGAAATTCACACAGTAACTTAGAGCTTTTATGTAATAACAACATGCGGTAACGCTACAATTTGCCTGCACACGCAAAAGCATAACACGTTATTAATATTACTGACCGTTATTAGTCGGAAAGGTGGCATTAAGTTGACCTAAATAAGCATCCATAAATTGATGCTGGCATTCTTGTTATGGACTTATATACCTTTAATGATAATTAACTATACGAGCTTTGATTTTGTTGGCTTGCAATATACAAGATATCCCTTATTGTCCAAAAATTTCGCTTATTTGAATAATTATATTTTTATTAGTATATTTTTATATCTTATAATTATTTTTTACGTAGGTAAATAATGAAATAAGAGAGTAACCGATTTATTAATCCGTATTTACATTAATTACAAACACGAGTAGTAATTATTTTTCTCTAAATTAAAATGTGTTTTTTCTAAATTTTAAAATGTACAAAGATATTATTACAGAAAATCCGTAAATCTGATATGTGTGATTTTATTATATCGATAACACAAAGAAATGACCATAATTCCATTAGAATACAAAGGCACAGCGTTGGCAGATTCTGTGACATTTTATGGGAATATCATGAATATCCGTGCGCGCAGATACATGAAAAAATGAACAAACGGAAATGAAACAAATTCGTTACAAAAGCGTCTTTATTTTTTCATGACTTTAATTAAACCAAAATGAATTAGAAATCTGTGCCAGAGCGAAAAGTGTGAGAAAGAGAAAATATAAATTTTGATTAAACAAGATTGCTTTATTTTTTCATAAGAAAATATAAATAAGTGAAGAAAAAAAATACTTTGATTTTTTATCGATTATTTAGTATCTTTTTATTAATGCTTCTGTATTTTAATCATCTCATTTCTTCGTTTCATCTTTGTTACGAAATTAATTTATTATTGTGAGAATAAAATAATACAAAATATATATAATAAAATATATATAATAAAATATATATAATATATA